GAATTTTTAAATTAATTTTATCTTCTTGAATCTCTATCTCGAATATTCTTCGAAATATTTATTTTACATTTGCTTCATGCAAATGATTCTGTTGGACTATATTGTAGTACCTGCAGACGATAAGCATAGTACTGTATCATCATAACATAATGATCATCTGTATTTGAATTATTATTTACTCTATGAACCATGTTATTTGTAAGAATATAAGAATGCCAATCCAAATCTCTATATGGAAAAAGTAATACTTAATGTAATGGCAAACTACCATTTTATTTGTAAAGCATAATATCTCTATTTAATAGTTCAGTTTCTTGACCATCTTCTACCATAAGAACAGCAATTTCTAAAACAGAGGGAATTAAATACTGTTGTTCATTATGTGCCTTAATAATAATAAATTTTAGACTTGAAACAGTATTCTTATGTAGAATATACGCAATTTGCCAAAAGATATAGATATATGCATTAACAGTGTAGTATTTCCTGAAGCTGCTCAAGAATTGATTGGTCTAGATTAAGCATTTAGCACTGTTGGTAAGTTAATAAATTAGTGAGAATGCAGGGGTGATATTACTATCTGGTAAAAGTAAACCTATTCGATGGTACATTTCACTATGAATTCGGAAACAGTAGACTTCCTGCATGCCAACCACACTTTTATCAATCTTGGCACCTATTGACGTAAATGCTAACAATAAGTTATATTTGCGAATGTTTTTTTGAAAATTTCGGGATCTACTATCTTCTCTGATGAGCAATAAAAGCAGAGGTTCTGGTAAGTGATAATGTTATTTTTCTGTTGGCACAACAGGCACTAAAAATCGGAGGAAGCGCACTACCGGCTACTTTTTCTTCTATCCAATGTAGTGCTCCGCATTGCAAATATTTCACTTTCATCAATCCTAGTTGGTGACGGATAACAGAAGTAGTATCATCCACCTGTATACAGGAAGCATTAGATTTACGTGTACATAGAGCACGGCACATATTTGCTGCTTATTGAGCTTTATGTCGATGTTCAGCTTGCTCATTTGATTCAGCTTCAGCACGAAGTCTATAAGCTTCATGTTGCTGTGCATGTCAATTTTCAAGTTGTTCAGCTGTAAATGACAATTTCTGACATGTATAAGCTTCTCTAGCGAGACAATTTCAATGATCTCTTGGTGTCTCCGAAGATTCTGTAGTATTCATCTAATAATAAAGCAATAGCAAATATAAAAGCAAAAAAATTTTTTTTAAAAAAGAGTATATATAAACAGAGATTAGTTATTATTATTTTAACAGTTGCAAGATTAAATTAACAGGCCCACAAAAGTTCATTATACAGTTGATACTGTCTAATTAGGACTGCAAAAACTCTATTATAGGTCCCTGCTATGACAATATTTGAATACTACTATAAATTTTGAAAATGTGATCGACCTATCATAGATTCGATTTATTATAAACCTTTGTGAAGTCACCGACTTTATATGATTCACAAAAAAAAAGGTCACTACTCTGGATTAGATTCGCATATATATAGAAAAATAAAAGGTCACTGCTTTAGATTAGATTCACTTATATATAGAAAATAAAAAGTTACTATTAGTTGATTTGGTTTATTATAAATCAGAAATAGATCTGAAATGTTTCGATTAGAAATTCAACAAACATAAAATATGAGCAAGGTTAGGATAAAAATTGAAGTAAAGCTCTGAAAAAGTCTGAAAGGTTTAGCAGCTTATATATAATATTTTGTACTAAGATGATCAACTAAAATGAGATTCACTTTATTATTAATTTTTAAAGGTGTTCATAAAACTAATTCGCTTAATTATAAAAAAGCCAGATTTGCAAATCTTAATAAATAAAATTTTTATGGCGGAGACCTATAATAAAGATTTCCCGGTCCTGTCTAATTGCATACTGTCTAATTGCATATACTCTCTAAATGCATAAAAAATTTTGATTTTTAATTATTGATACAAAATAGTTCTTATGACTTAAATGTATATATTGTCTATATGCATAAAAAAAGTCTCTACGGATAGTATGCAATTAGACAGTACCGACTGTAATTTCACATGAATTTTAGAAATTCTGGAAGTACAATCGGTACTGTCTAATTGCAAACTATCCGAAGAGACTTTTTTTATTCATATAGACAATATATTCATTTAAGTCATAAGAACTATTTTTGTATCAATAATTAAAAATCAAAATTTTTTATACATTTAAAGAGTATATGCAATTAGACAGTATCAATTGTATTATTATTTTCAACAAAATCATAACATATTTTTATTTTCTTGTCAAGACATAACCATGATGATTCAAATATATAATAAGTATAAATTTATTTTTGTTTATATGATGTATAAGATTTTCCTTTTATTGTTACAGGTGAATCGTATAATCGAGGTTGAAATAATCAGAATGATGAAAAATTTATAATAAGACAACTTGTCAAAGGTGTGGCAATGATGTTTTTTAATGATTTAGTAATAATAATAAATATTAAATATTTATGTTTTATAAAGAGATTTTTTATTAAATTCTTATAGTTTTATTAGTTAATTATTGCTAGAACATTTCTCTGACAATACCCAAGCCTCTAGGGTAACACTCCCACATCGATCACTACAATCTACGATCAGCTACGCCTTAATTCAAAAAAATCATTTATTTGTGACACTACGAAAAAATCATATTTTTTTCTTTTATTCATCTCTTTTTTTATTCAGTCCATCTGTTTAAATCCTCGATCATTTTAAATACTCTGCTGCTCGATTTCCTTAAATATGTATTTATATGCTCATATTGATTTTTCTATTATAGTAAAATAAATTTGCAAAACAACGATAAATCGATATAAAGGTTGATGAATTAATCAACAGGTTGATATAACGAATGAAGAACCGATTTACAGGATGTGAAAATTGTAGTACATACGTGCATATTGGCATTGGATATAATGAATAAAGAAATAATCTACGGATTGAAGAATTGAACTAAAAAATTGTATTATAGATACTTTAATTATATATTATGTACGGTCAGCTCTCTTTATAATTTACAATTTAATAATGAAGAAACTAAATATTTTCAAAATTATATTATTTCTTTTGCCTCAATTCACAAAAGAAAAATAGAAAACATTCAGAGTACCATTTTTAGTTCTGATTTTTTTACTAGTTAGGCTAATTTTGAATTTATATGAGTACTGTGCTTATTGTTAATATACTTTTATTTTATTAAATTTCCACTATTCTAAGCTTTTATATATAAAACATGCATAATATACAAACTATTGATATGATCAAGTGTGAAAGAAATTGGTATTGAAATGATATTTAAGAGTTGTAGAAGTGTTTGGAAAAATAATGAATGTTATTGAAGCAATCCAAAACATCAAAAAATTAGTAGCTTAACATATTAATAATTATATATAAGGGGTGTGGTGACATAGTGAAGTGGTAGAGTTGTCGCATCCCCAAGTTTGTTGGTTATAGTACTGAGTTCGAATTCCACTGGCAATGTTTGAATAATTTACTTGTGTAATAGTAATAGCTTATTCTAAATTGGGCTGGATTAATTTATATGTAAACCAGGGCACACCAATGCCCCGAGTTGGCGCTGAGAGACATGGAAGCATTTGTGTCATTGCACAAAGTAATGCAAACCAGTATAGACAGTGCAAACCCATGATAAGGCATCCTGATCGATCTTATTAATAGTAGCCTGAGAAAACTGAAACTGGCTTGGCAAATCCTGATTAAGGAAGTAGCAGACTGTTCTGACCAGGTGTTACTTGTACTACAGGACAAATCTGACTGGACCCCAAAAATTGGAGAAGTTGTGTGACAAAGATCTTACAGGCAAGAGGGATCTACCAACCAGGCTGGCAGGTCATCTGGAGGAAAAGGTCACATGTTATGAAATTGTAGACCAAGGATCGGGAGACTTTCAGACTTGAGCCTGGAAAACTCAGGTCTGGGCAGACCAATCCTTCCAGGCAATCTGGTTTGGAAGAAAGACGATACCAAAAGGAGTAAGGTGTGGAAAGTGATGGAATATAGTACAGGGGTTTGTAAACCTTAAAAGGGTGGAGTAGGTAACAGTAGAGGTTTAATGGTTATGCCCTGACCCCAAGTACATGAATTAAGGCATGGCATAAGTTACTGAAGTTTAGGTGAATACATATAAAGAAATGTACCACTCTGGCGGGTTTACCTTGAGGATAAACTAGTCCTAAGTCTGGCTGTTAATCTAGTGATGTCGCATAGATCCATGATGCCCTGGTGGCGCATGGTGAGATTACACCTGGGTCTTAAGTCCCACAAGATGGAAGTAAGAATATAATCAGAGGGTTTAAATGGGTCCCCCCTAGTTGGAATGCAGGTACAGCAGATAGTGTAGAACCTTCGGGTGAACTACTTAAATTAGGCACTTAAAAGGTGCACATGTGGCTATATGTACTCTCATTGTATACTGAAATAAAACTTAATGATAATAAATTGCTGTTGACAAAAAGGTCACCTTTAATACTGAAAAAAATAATAATAATTATGTATAAACAATTTACAGCTTTTTGCTAATATTTATAGTTCTTTCAAATTCATTAAAATGAATATTAAAGATACTAATTTCAATGAAGATGCCTTGCATACAATTATGATCATAAGTAAAAATAAAAAGATTAAGGAAACTGATAAGAAGCGAGAAATATGTCACGAACATTACATAATCAGTTGTAAAAATGAAAATTCTGAAAACAGAAGAAGAGCAAACAATACATATTGAATAACCAATAAATATTGAATGCAAACGCAGTTAATGGCAAGCAGAGAAATTCTGAAGAAATAAGAGAAATGCCTAGCATAAGATAATAACCAGAAAGTTAGCCACATAAATTTAGAAGAGTGAAATATGTCTTAAATATAGGCGCAGACAATGAAAAAAAAAGCATTTCTTAAATTCAGTTGCAAGCTACTTAGAAAATTTAAATTGTTGTGATCTAATAAGCAAAAGAGACTATCCTTTTGGGGTAAAATAGTTGTGTTAAAAAAAACAATTTCAAGATAAAGTGACTGACTGTGACAACAATACAGTAATATCTAATTGCATAAATTTTATATGCTGATATTATATTTTAGCTGCATTATGAGACTCAAATTGATAAAATGTCACCTGATCATGAATTTTTCTGCCTTTTTGCATAACTAATCAATCTCAACCTTTTTTAGTTTCCATCTAACAAACAGTTAAGAACAAAATGCAGTATAATCGTTATATAATTTAGCAAATTTGTATAATTTGATAGTTGTAGACCAAAAATAGATTAAAATATCTATTTTTACAAAAATTGGCCCTAGTCACCTTTAACAGTTATAAACCACACCAACCAATCCTAAAGACCAGAGTATTTCAAATGATAAAGAACTTTTTCTATAATATTAGAAGAATCTAATTTAACTTTGCTTAAAAAGAGATGTTCTACTTCCGTTAATCCATGTAGTTCATGGTATTATATGCGATGGATTACAATGAAATTTGTAAAATGTAAGAAATAGACAAGCCACCGAAAAATAAAATTTTTTAGGCTAGGGTTTATTATAAACAAGTGAGCTTTAGAGAACCCTAATCCAACTTTACAAGAAAAATCATTTTGAATTATGTCTTTGAGTCCATTAATTTCTTTTATTACTTATTCGATAATTTTTTATATAAAAACTTTTGTAGGTTGAATGTGATGACATATAAAAGATTTACAAACTGGGTTGTATTTTTTTTTTCATCAAATATTATTCAAAGATTGATTATTATAAAATTAATTAAAATTAATAGTCTAATTGTTCATTATATTTAACAATTTGTAGAGTGTCATACTAGACAATTTCAAAAAGCGCGTAATTCCTTGTTGGAAATAATTAGCGATACCCAAAGTTCTTCAGTAGCCTGTGAGTTGATAACTGATAATGGGCTCAGCTGTTTAAATGGTAAAA